CGTTGGGTGACGTCACGGCGTTGGGTGACGTCATCCCGTTGGGTGCCGGTGCCCGCCGGGTGCCGGCGGCGGGGGAGAGGGGTCTCCGTGCCCGCCGGGCCGGGGCGAACTCGGGGTCCCCGACGGTGACAACGTGTCGAGGAACCGGCGGGACCCGACCTGGGGACACCAAAAACGGGGAAACGGCCTCAAAATGGGCCAAAAACAACCAAAAATGGGCCCAAATCCACCCAAAATGGGCCAAAAACAGCCAAAAATGGGCCCAAAATGGGTCCAAAACAGCCAAAAATGGGCCCAAACCCACCCAAAATGGGCCAAAACCAGCCAAAAATGGGCCCAAACCCACCCAAAATGGGCCCGAAACAGCCAAAAATGGGCCCAAACCCACCCAAAATGGGCCCAAACCCACCCAAAACGTCCCCAAATCCCATCAAATCCACCCAAAATGGGCCCAAAACAGCCAAAAATAGGCCCAAACCCACCCAAAATGGGCGCAAATCCACCCAAAATGGGCCCAGAACAGCCAAAAATAGGCCCAAATCCCATCAAAAATGGGCCCAAATCCCCCCAAAATGGGCCCAAAATATCCCCAAATGGGCCCAAACCCACCCAAAACATCCCCAAATGGACCCAAATCCACCCAAAACGTCCCCAAATCCCATCAAATTCCACCCAAAATGGGCCCAAATCCTGTCAAATCTACTCAAAATGTGCCCAAATCCCCACAAAATGGGCCCAAAATATCCCCAAATGGGCCCAAACCCACCAAAAATGGGCCCAAAATATCCCCAAATGGGCCCAAATCCACCAAAAACGTCCCCAAATCCCATCAAATCCACCCAAAATGGGCCCAAATCCACCCAAAATGGGCCCAAAACAGCCCCAAATGGACCCAAATCCCATCAAATCCACCCAAAATGGGCCCAAAACAGCCCCAAATGGACCCAAATCCCATCAAATCCACCCAAAATGGGCCCAAACCCACCCAAAACATCCCCAAATGGGCCCAAATCCACCCAAAACGTCCCCAAATCCCATC